AAAAAAAAAAAAAGTTAATCATCAATATGTAGGAATTTAGTATGATAAAGGTGGCATTTCAAAACAGGATGGAGTGGATAAATATTGAATAAACAGAGGAAGAGAAATTGGCTATCTAAGTAGGGGAAAAACTGGGTCCCCACTTCATACCATTCACACACACACACACACACACACACACACATCCCTAAATATGAAAACCAAAAATATGAAATAAAAGCTACATCACATAAAATCCACAAAGCTTTCAACCGTCAAACCAGACTGAGTCCAGGACATCAGACGAGGTAATTGTGAGCAGGGAAGACGAAGCCAGACTTGGCGACGCTGTTTGGGGGATGCCTCTGGGACAGACAGCTGAAGATGCCCAGTAGAGTTCATCATAAGTGCTCTGGAACCCAGGTAAGAGGCAAAGTGGTATCATTCTAATTCAGTGGGCAGGGAGATTTCCCTTCCCAAGGCCACCCAACTGACAGAAGACAGATTGTCTGATCTCAGAGTTCACATTATCTTTGCCGCCACAAGCTGTCCCTACCCAGAGAAGCCCAGAAGGTTCTGGGATAGAACTACCCCCATCTGGGCCCAGGCTCAACCTTCCCTCTTGCCCCTGAACCAATCTCTTCTTCATCTCCTTCTGCTTTGTGTCTCCTGACTCTGTAACACAGTAGCAGGTTGCCAGGAAGAAAACTTAACCTAACCAGGGTCTGGCAGAAGGTGGTACAAGTTCGAGAGGAGCATGAAGCACTTAAGAGGCTAAGAGAGTCTCTCAAAGGTTGAAAAGGAACAGATGGAGAGGCAGGAACAGGGTCAAGGGAGAATGTCCAGGCAGGAAGGATCCACAGATGCCCAGGAAGATTAAGTAAGATCACATGTAGAAGGCAGTCAAAGGATGCAACAATTAGAGGAATACCTGAGGCCTTGGGGAGCACAGTTTGAGTCAAGACAGCAAGAAGAGAAGCGTGTTAGCACTGGGCAGGCTGTAAGAAAGAGGAGGGAGCAAGTCACAAGCGAACCTTTCAAGACGTCTGGCTTGGAAAGAAATCAGTGGGGAAGCGAGCGGGACCTAGGTTCCCACACTCAGGTGGGTGTGGTTGTGCCCTGTGAGCAGACTGAGCCCTCTGCAGCTGTGTAGATGTGGTCTGGCAGATAGGGAGCAGACAGATGGCTACCTGTCCTCAAAGTTCAGTCCAGAGTGCAGGAACGAGGGCTCACTTAGCCTTCACCTTTCCTACCTGGGCAGGCCCGGCTGCAGATACAAAAAGGGGGAGGAGACTGATCCATCTGACAAAGTGAAGACTCACCTGAATGAGGGCGAGGTTGCTGCTGATGACTCTGTGCTGCTCCTGAGGGTCATCAATTTGTCCAGTGTTGGCCTGGGATAGAGAGAAGAGGAAAAGCGAGGTCTGGGTTAATCCTTTTTGGAAAAGGCAGTCTCTCAGAGAGAAATCAATAAATACCATTTCGTTGGCATCAGAACAGATTATTCTGCTCAGCTTTCCAAACAACGATCAGCCTTTTTTGTAGGAAGGGAGGTAAAGGCATCGGTCCCTTTGGGAACTAGATGGATGCCGTGGACCATTCCTCCCCTCCTCAAGTCTGTGACTACACACACGCTCACAAACACAGACACACACACACACACACACAGACACATGCTGCCGGCAATTTTATGGCCATCTCTGGTTCTCAAGCTCATGAACAGACCTCAGGCAAGGGCTCCTGTTGTGAAGTCAGCCAGGTCTTTGGCCTTGTCCCCCTACCACCTACAACGCCCTTCTTTCTCTGTCAGCTGACCTTATTTCCAATGACCACCAGCCCCCTTCCCTTGCCTCGGCAAAACTGTCCTGTTTAAGGAGTATATATAAGTCGGTCTTCTCTCAGAATAAAAAAACAAGATCAGAAATATGACTTTCTCCTTTTAAAATGGTAGGTGGGTCAGGAGTGGTGGCTCATACTTATAATCCCAGCACTTTGGGAGGCAGAAGCAAGAGGACTGCCTGAGCCCAAGGGTTCAAGGCCAAGCTGGGCAACTTGGTGAGACCTCGTCTCTGTAATAAATAAAAAATTAGCTGACATGGAGGTGCATGCCTATAGTCCCAGTTACTTGGAAGGCTGAGGTGGGAGGATCATCTAAGCTCAGCAGGTCAAGGCTGTGGTGGCCATGAGCATGCTTCTGCACTCCAGTCTGGGCAACAGAGTGAGACTCCAACTAAAAAAAAAAAAAAGGTAGGTGGCTCCTAAAAGCATAGCATGTGCTAGCAAAATTCAAAATTCAAGACTAAGAAAAGGTTTCAAAGCAAATATATTTTCCTAGCCCCTTTACTCAGTTCATTAAGTTCCTGAACTCCAAGAAAAAAATATAAAAATATGTCTACCACTAACAAACTTGATAATTATTTTTCCTTTTACAAAGAAGGGGAGCCTTTTTGTTTTCAACACAACTGACACCAGGGACACGTCACCTGACAGTGGCCAGGTTTCAGTCCACTCTTGCTGAATACAGGGATGATACCCACCTCAGGTAGCCTGCAGGGATAGCAAGGGAAGGAAAGAGGGCAGAGATGGGGCAGAGCTCATCATGCGCCAGGCATGTACGGCCAAAAGGGTGACTTCCTTCTCTCCACAGGCAGACCGTGTATTCACCGAGACCCAAGTGTGCCCACCGCTATTTTAACTCATGTTTTCTATTAATCCATCAGCTCCAACATGGGTCCTATCTTATCAGATAAGGGGGTTGCTGCTGGGCCATGTGATCCCTGAGTATGAATCAGAAAAAGCATTCCTTTCTCAAGATATTTTCCTTTTATCAGCTGTAAAACAGTTCAAATAAAAGTACAAGTCGATCACCTGTACCGCCCACAGAGCAGCCCAGCCTCTACTGTGTATGAAAGGACTTGCCAAGCTCACTGCTGGCATCCAGGAGCACCTCACTGAGTGTGAAGGACAGGGAGCAGGACCAAGAGGTAAAGCAGGGAGGGCTGCAGGCGGGGAAGCTCCGAGAGCCACAGAGGTGGGAGAGGAAGCGCGTGGAAGGTGAAGACGTGTGACAAGAGATGAGAAAAGGGATTACGATTTCAGAGCATCGGGAGCCCTTCTAGGCCAGGGGATGAGAGTAGGCAGCTGAAGTGGAATGAAGGCGAGAAAACCAGGAGGCTTCGGTTCAGATGAGTCATCCATGTGGATGCTACAACGGTCCAAGATGGTGGTGGGATCTGACGTACAGAAGACCACTGAATAGTATGTTTCCCAGGTTTAGGGATCCAACCAAGCTGGCAATGTGGAGGAAAGGAAGTGCAAGAGGACAGAGGGGAAGCAACACCATCTGCATGCAGGCAGATATCCACTTTCAAAGAAATTATTCTGATACTTGTTAAAAACAACAAGGTAAAGCTTATCCAAGACTATTGCAATAAGGGAACGAGATTGACCTTGACTCCAAATACAAATGGGATAAGTGGAGATTTGTAGCCAATGGGCAAGGTAAGGGAATAGATGGAAATTACTAAGAAAAATTTAACTAGGTGTCAAGGACAGGAGGGGAGGAACTTAATCAAGAGTAGGAGAGGCCCAGGCTCAGTGACTCAGCCTGTAATCCCAGCACTTTGGGAGGCCGAGGTGAGTGGATTGCCTGAGGCTGTGGGTTCAAGACCAGCCCAGGCAACTTGGCAAGACCTCGTCTCTACAATAAAAATAAAAAATTAGCCAGCCATGGTAGTATATACCTGTAGTTCTGGCTACTTGGAAGGCTGAGGCAGAAGAATCACCTGAACCCAGCAGGTCAACACTGGGGTAGCCGTGAGTGTGCCACTGCACTCGAGCCTGGGCGACAGCACGAGAAAGAAGCCAGGCACAATGGCTCACACCTGTAATCCCAACACTTTGGGAGGCCAAGGTAAGAGGACTGCCTGAGCCCAGGGGTTCAAGACCAGCCTAGGCAATTTGGCAAGACTTCGTCTCTACAATAAATCAAAAAATTAGCCAGGCATGGTGGCACATGCCTGTAGCCCCAGCTACCTGGAAGGCAGAGGCAGAAGGATCACCTGATTCCAGCAGGTTGAAGTTGTGGTAGCTGTGAGCGTGCCACTGTACTATATACAGTCTGGGCAACAGAGACTTCAACTCAAAAAAAAAAAAAAAAGAGAGAGAGAGTGGGAAAGAGGAGCTTGACTAGATATCAGGGTGGAGGATTCTCAATAAACTAGCTTAGCAGAGTTCTTTGCTAAAACAGGGTCAACAGCCAAGTTGAGTAGAGGGCTCAGAGATTCCTGATTCAAGCAAGTTTGGTCAAGGAAGGAGTGTTCGTCACCACCCAGGAGGAGGTCCCCAGGGGAACAGGTCTCCTTCAGGTAGAGGAACATTTCTTTGCCCTGGAATGCAGTTCCTAGAGATGTCAGGGGGGAAAGTTGGAGGCACAGGACCAGTCTGAGCACAGACTAAGAGCTCAAAGAGACAATCAGCGGGAGGCTGGGACACTTACAGAGAGCAACCTGAATTCACCTCATCAGAAGGCGTTCATAGATGCCCTTCCTAAATGTGTATTTCAATTACATAAATTTTTAAAAATCTATTTGAATCTGACAATTCTAGTCTTCTAGACTTCTGCATTGTAAACTTGCGATTTTTCCCTTTCCTTATCTGTTAGTCAGAAGTGAGTTATTAAATCCCACTGACACTCATGGGGACAGGAAATAAGCTCCAGCTTCTACAAGGCAGCATATCCAAGATTTGAGGACACACATTAAAATTCCACAGGATCCTGTTTCCATTCTAGGTTCTCTCAATCTTTCCTTATTGACTGTAAAACAGGCTGCTTTCACCAATTCAGAGGGTGCCAATGTTGGGTATTCCCTGTGCACCCTGTGGACCTGCGCTCCCCCTGCCTGCTCTGTGCCGGCAAGGCTGACCTGGGTGGACCAATCAACAAGCCCCCTAGACCTACCGCTTCTGATTGGCTCTGTCCAATGAGGAGCTATTGAGAAGGCACTGGAGGCCCCGTGGGGAAACTGGATGTGTGTCCCTGTGCCCTTCCTACGGGGCGGGGGCTGTGCGCCTCCACCCAGACCCGCAGCTCCCGTAGGTTGGTCTTCTCCTCTGGCTCCAGGCACAGCTCTCCCCTGGGATCTGAGAACCAGTCTGCCCTGCTTCTGCCCCTTTAGGCTTAGAGTAATAATTACTCCCTGTTGCTCCAAGTCCTGGGGTGCTTCGCCACCCCTTCCTGGTTTCTGGGAATCCTGCCTAAAACTCTGTAAATGAACACTTTCCGAAACTCCACAGACACTGCCTGTCTGTGTGTGTCACCTTTTCCCTGCCAGGATCCTAACATATTCTGTGACTCGTAACTTCAGGAGGATGTTTTTTGGCCCACTCACATCTTGTTACTACTTTGTGCACTTTTTTCTAATAACTAGAAATAGTTACTGCATTAAGATGGAAGACTGAACACCTGTTATGCTATCCCTCTCCTTCCCATATTGGGGATTGAGGAGACAATCACTTAGTGCTTTATTTTCAAATAATTTCATACTTCAGAGGTGTTTCAAAGTCAACAGAAAGCCTCCGCATACCCTGCACTCCGCTTCTCCTGCCAACAAGTACATGACCCGGGACGAGCACCAAAACTAAGAAATTAATGCTGGTACAACACTCGCAACTAAACTAAAGAATGTATTTGCAGGTCGGCAATCTTCTCACCATTGTTCTTTTTTGTTCCAAGAAATGAATCAGGATCACCCACTTCTTAGTCTCACTTTTCTTCTAAAGAGTCAGTTATACTGTAGGATGTCCCTCAGTTTGGGTTTCTCTGATGTTTCCTCCTGACTAAACAGAGGCTGTGGGTTTTGAGGGAGAAGCCCACAAAGGTGAGGTGCCCTTCTCCTTGCACCCAATCAGGGCTATGGGATGGCTGGTAATGCTGACCTGGGTTCCTGGCTGAGGTGGCAACTGCCAGGCTTCTCCACTGTAAACTTACTCTTTTTCTCTTTCCTTATCTATTAGTCAGAAGTGAGTTATTAGGTCCCACCGACACTCGAGGGGGGAGGAAATAAGCTCCAGCTTCTAGAAGGCAGCATTTCCAAGATTTCAGGACACATATTAAAACAACCATAGTAACCACAGTAATCCATAAATGTTGTGCTTATTTAAAAAAATAATAGCCAAAAATTTCCCAAACTGGAAGAAAGACATAAATATGCAAGAAGGTGAATGAACTTCAAGTAGGATAAACCCCAAGAGACCCACACAGAGACACATTACCAACAAACTGAAAGTCAGAAAGATAATCTTGAAAACCACAAGAGAAAAGAGACTCATCACATAAAAGAGATCCAATCTTCCATGAGATTATCAGTGGATTTCTCAGCAGAAACTTTATAGG